TGATCACTCCAGCTGGACCCTCGAGGTGCACCCTTTGTGTGGACTGTACACCCTTCTGTTATAATTGAGTCTTGATAGCGTTGCCACATCAATGGGAGGGATTTACTCTGGCTGATCAACTGCAAGGACTGGCTGTGCCCACTGACCTCTGACTCCCTTGGAGGATCAGTGGTGTAGAGGCCCAGCACACAGAGCAAGACTTACTTCAGCAAGGCTCTGGTACCCACTGAGTCCACTCCTTGAGTATGTTGCTTGTGTAGGTGGTTGGGTGGTGGTGCTTTGCCATATTCTAAAGCTGTCCATTGGGTGTGCTGGCTCTGGAGCAAGGTCAGCCACTGCTTGTGTTCTACCCAGGGCCACCCGGCATAAGCTACAAAGCAGTCTGCAGATGGCTGCTTCTTGTGCTGGGCTTGGAGGTACCCAGGCAAAATCAAGCTATGAACCAAGGCTGGTTGCTTCTAATGCTGGGCCTGGGGCCACTTAGTGAGAGGTATGGTGTTCGCTGAGGGCAGATGCTGCTTTTTTGAGAAAATTTAGGAAAATCTGAAACAGGAGCCAAGACAGGCCATTCCTATGATAAAGCCACACAGCTTGTGTGGGCCTGAAAGTTGGGGTGGGGCAAGGCCTCAGGGAATCACCAGGATGAAGCAAACAGTGTGAGCCAGGGTGCTGGAGTCCCAGATATGGCGCATGTCTGACTGCCCAATGGGGGAAGGGCTCAGCAAAGGAACAATGGCCTTCACCACTAGGTCTGTCAGCATGAGTAGGCTTTAGATTGATGATGACCCTGAACTAGGAAAAGACTAAATTATAATTATTTGGTGAACTTAGATATGATCTCCGTATACATTAAGTGTGGCAGAATGGTAAGAACATGCACTGGTCCCCAAATCAGCTCAGGAAGTGACTCTCTTTGGACTCTGTTTCCTCGTCTATAATGTGGTGACTCACTTCCCTGACGGAAGGCTTTTCAGTTACCGTCTAATGTCCTTGCATTTCAAATTGAAGGATTCCCTTTAGCATTTCTTCTAGACTAAGTCTAGTGGCAGTGAACTCTCTCAGGTTTTATCTTGGAATGTGTGTATTTTTCCCACTTTTTTTTTTTTTTATCCTCACCTGAGGACATTTTTCCATATTTTGTTCAGATAGAGTGGGAGGGAGAGAGAGAGAGAGAGACATCAACGTGAAAGGGACACATCGAGTGGCTGCCACCCGCACAACCCAACCAGGGTTGGGAACAAACTGCAACCAAGGTACGTGCCCTTAGCGGAACCGAACCCAGTCTCTCTGAACCGCAGGCCGACACTAACCACTGAGCCAAACCGGCCAGGGCGTTTTTTCCCCACATTTTTTTTTTTTATCCTCACCTGAGGACATTTTTCCATTTTTTGTTCAGGTAGAGTGGGAGGGAGAGAGAGGAACAGAGAGAGAGAGAAACATCGATGTGAAAGGAACACATCGAGTAGCTGCCACCCGCACAACCAACCAGGGCCAGGGACAAACTGCAACCGAGGTACGTGCCCTTAGCAGGAACCGAACCCGGGTCTCTCCGGACCGCAGGCCGACGCTCTAACCGCTGAGCCAAACCAGCCAGGGCTTCCCCACATTTTTGAAGGACAATTTTGCTGTACTAATTTTCTCCTTCAGTAATTTACATATATCATCCCACTGCCTTCTGGCTGCAAGGTCTGTGTTGAGAAAACTGGTAGTAATTTTATTGAGGATTCCTGTATGTGACTGGTTGACTTTCTCTTGATGTTTTCAAGATTCTGTCTTTGTATTTGATTTTGGACTGTTGTGTTAATAATGTATTTTGATGTGGGTCCTTTGGGATTTATTCTGTTCAAGTTTTTGGTCCACTTTATGTCCCATAAGCCCCTTAAGCCCTGTTCTTGGTTTCTTTGTTTTTCTCCTCAGAATTGGTCACTTTAAATGACATTGCTTCGCCCTGGCCAGTTTGGCTCAGCGGTTAGAGCATTGGCCTGCGGTCCGGAGAGACCCGGGTTCGGTTCCTGCTAAGGGCGCGTGCTTCGGTTGCAGTTTGTTCCCGGCCCTGTTTGGTCGTGCGGGTGGCAGCCACTCGATGTGTCCCTTTCACATCGATGTTTCTCTCTCTCTCTCTCTCTCTCTCTCTCTCTCTCCCTCTCCCTCCCTCCCACTCTATCTGTTAAAAAACAAAAAACAAAACAAAAAACAAAAACGTAAATGACATTGCTTCAAGTTCATTCCTTGGACCTTACTGCCTGTTCTAGTCTGCTGTTGAACTGTTGTAGTGAGGTTTTCAGTTACGTTACTGTATTTTTAAGCTTCAGAATTTCTATTTGATTCTTTTTCTAATAATTTTTTATTCTTTGTTAATAATCTGATTTTGTTCCTGTGTTGTTTTCCCGATTTTATTTAGTTGACTCACAGTATTCTCCTTTAGCTCATTGAACATATTTATTTATTTTTATCCTCACCCAAAGGTATTTATCCATTGATTTTTAGATAGAGTAGAAGAGAGAGAGAGAAAAAGAGAGAAACATCTATGTTGAGAGAGACACATCAATTGGTTGCCTCCCCAACTGGGGATTGAACCTGTAACCCAGGTACGTGCCCTTGACTACACATTGAACCCAAGACCCTTTGGTGTGCAGTTCAACGCTCTAACCCCTGTACAAACTGACCAGGCTCACTGAATATATTTAAAATAATTATTTCAAGTTAAGAGTATTATTTCTTTAAGATTGGTTTTTAGAGATTTATTTTCTTCCTTTGAATGGGTTACGTTTCCTTGGTCTTTCTATGCCTATTGTTATTGTTGAAAATTAAGCATTTGAAAACACATTTACCACTCTGTCTCTGTGGACTGGCTCTGTGTAGAGAAAAACCTTCATTAATCAGCATGACATGAAGCCACAAGTCCTTCAAGCATTTCTGGAGTGCATCTTCCCAGGACTGTGTGTTCAGAATTCCAGTTCCCCCATGTATATGGCTACTTTGGAATATGTTAATCCCCCTGAGAGTCTCACTCCTGCTTTCCTTTGGGGCCTTAGATTTCTGTCCTAGTCCTACGCCTGTATTTTCTTGCCCACAGGTCTGCAAACTCCCTGCAGTTCTCATGTCAAACCCGATATGAAAACTGTACCACTATTCCCATTGGCGCTCAGTCAAGCGAGACAGAAACCAGTCCCATGGGACTCTCCAAACCCCCCAGAACACATAAGAAAGTTCTGTTCTTTACTTTCCACCCTGAGGTGGGAACCTGGAATGGGGCAGCCTCTTCCCAGTCTTTTTTTTTTTTTTTTATCCTCACCCGAGGACATTTTTCCATTTTTTACTCAGATAGAGCGGGAAGGAGAGAGAGAAAGAGAGAGAAACATCGATGTGAAAGGGACACATTGAGTGGCCGCCACCCACACAACCCAACCAGGGCCGGGGACAAACTGCAGCCAAGGTATATGCCCTTAGCGGGAACCGAACCCGGGTCTCTGTGGACCGCAGGCTGACGCTCTAACCGCTGTGCCAAACCGGCCAGGGCCTCCTCCCAGTCTTAACCCCCACACTGTGCCGGTAAGGGTGAGGCACATGGAGAAACTAGGACATTGGATGGTTTTTGAGTTCAGGTTCTTTTGGTTAGATGTTCCCTTGGTTGTTGGCAGTTTCTCAACTGGTGTTTAAAGTTGTTCAAAGTGATTTTTTTCCTATTTGTTTGTATATTTGGTGTTCTGTGTGGGAACAAGGGCTGGAGCTCCTACTCTGATTTCATGCTTACATCTCTCTCCTTCGGTCCTTTGAGCAGGTATAAGACCATGGTTAGTGTTTTAAAGTATTTGTCTGATACTGATACCTGTCTCTTTATGGATAATTGTTTTAGCCACTTTATTTTCTGCTTTGGATAGGCCATATATTCCTGTTTCTTCTATGCTGTTATTGTTGAAAATCAAGCATTGAAGAAAAAAAGCTCCCTCTAGCCTTGACGGGCATGGTTCAGCAGTTAGAACGTCAGCCTGTGGTCCAGAGAGACCCAGGTTCGGTTCCCGCTAAGGGTGCGTACCTCGGTTGCAGTTTGTCCCCGGCTCTGGTTGGTCGTGTGGGTGGCAGCCACTCGATGTGTTCCTTTCACGTCAATGTTTCTCTCTCTCTTTCTCCCTCCCACACTGTCTGAAAAAAAAAAAAAAGCCCCCTCTACCAGTCTTTGCTGACTGGCGCTTTTCCAGGGAAGCCTAATGGGCAAAGTGTGTTCTGAGCCTTGAGATCTGCCTCGGGTTAGGGCTTAAGGTCTCCTCACATCTTTTTCTAAACTAATGACTTTCCTGGGTCTATGTGTATGCCTTTTCGATTCCCTCATACACAGGTGCTTTTAAATCCCTTAATCTCTCCAAAAGTGCCACCCCAGTTTCTCTTGCACTTAGATAGTCTAGAGCATTTCTTAACACAGTCTCTTTGCGAGCCTCTGCATGTCTATAGCCCCCCTGTAGCCTCCAGGAACAGTATCTGCTGCTGCTTTCCATTGCTTTTTCCCTCCTCGTCTCTGAGTCAGACTGGGACTGGTTCCTCAGGCATCCCCCAGACACAGTAGAATATTGCCAAGAAAGTCTATTCTGCTCCATCCAGTTCGAGGTAGGAAATTGAGGGGGGAATTGCTGCATCCTTTAGACCACACCATACCACAAGGTAAAATAAGACCTTTACAAGTAGTTACGTACAGAGTAGAATGAGAAAACACACTCACACAGCCCCAGGCAAGACATATGCTTAGGAAAGACCTGAGAACACCTTATACCTTCAATCTGCAATAGTCCCAAATATCATACCTTTTAATGTGGCTTTTTCTCAACAGGGTGCTCTCTTGGTTGTTGTAGACCTTTGACTGTTTTTCAGAACTCTCACACTTATTTTAGTTAGTCTCTAGTTTTTGGTTGTTGCTTTTGAGTATTTCAGTGGGGGAACATGGGCTTGGGGGTTTCAGGCCCACTTTCTTGCTTGCTGATGTCACTCTCTGTCCTTAATTCTTTCAGGAGACAGGAATGAAGATGAAATGGAGACTCTTCATGAAGCAGGAGTAAGATGCCTTTCATTGGGAGAACTTTCATGCTGGCAAGTCAGCAGACATGTTGTGAGTAAATTAATGAAAAGTCAAGTCTCCATTCTACATATTCAAGAAAAGAGCTCCCGATTCCCCAAACAACTTAATTCCCCCAGTAAGGTGGGGACAGGACTATCCATTCCGGCTGATGTGGAAGATGGCTGTATCATGAATCTTATACAGAATCATTCCAGTATTAATGAAAATCAAGAATTTCCAATGGGGAGAGCTCAGAATTCTTGGAGTGAAATATATCTGAATGAGACACAGAATTATCAGAGAAGTTGTAAGCAGACGCCAATGAAAAACAAGTTATGTATATTTGTTCCATGTGCTACCATCTTTAGTTGTAATTTGCACCACCATGATGATGACACAGTACACAAAGGGGAAAAAGCTCCCAGCAACAGACTATGGTGAAGACCCGGCTGCATAGGTCTATTAAAGAGCCAGAAGTCTCAGCTAGGCCCAAAAGTAATAAACTCCTCACCTACCAGGTGTTAACAGAGGCCAAGTCATAAACATTATTATAGATATGTGACACGTACCTTGAGAGCACCAATTTTATAGCTCCTCGGGAAGTGTGACCAGTTAGTTTGTAGCAAAGTGACAGTTCCCAGGCTTAGTGAATGTGTGGGTGAGAAAGGAAAGATGAAAGCTATCAGGTCTTCCCAGCTGGTATGGCTCAGTGGTTGAATGTCGACCCATACATCAAGAGGTTGCCAGTTCAATTCCCGGTCAGGGCACATGCCCAGGTTGTGGGCCAAGTCCTCAGTGGGGGCGTGCAGGATGTGGCCAATCGATGTTTGTTCTCATCTATGTTTCTATCTCTCCATCTCCCTTCCTCTTTCTCTAAAATCAATAAAGAAAAAATATTTTTAAAAAGCTCTTAGACACTGTTGGAAGTAAATTGGCCTAAACTTTCTGAAACAATTTGATAGTATTAATCAATTTATAAAATGTATATCCCCCATGATTCAAGAGTTATAGTTGTAGGGTGCTTATTATTGGAATACTCACAATTACACCATTGAATATTACAGGGACTGCCTTGCTGCTATGGCTTAGTGGTTGAGTGTCAACCCATGCACCAAGAGTTTACTGGTCAGGGCACATTCCTGGGTTGTGGGCCCAATCCCCAGTCAGTGGCATGTGGGAGGTGGACGGTTGATGTTCTTTCTCATTGATGTCTCTCTCTCTCTCAATTCAATAAAGAAAAATTATTTAAGAAAAAAGTACAGGGATTATTTTTTACTCCCACATTTTAAAAAAAATTATTGATTTTAGAGAGAGGAAGGGAGAGGAAGATAGAAACAATGATGAGAGAGAACATCAGTTGGCCATCTCCTACATGCCCCCACTGGGGATTTTGCTCACAACCTGGGTATGTGCCCTGACTGGGAATCGAATCAATGACCTCCTGGTACATGGGTAGATGCTCAACCACTGAGCCACAGCTCCCGAGCTACTTCCACATTTAAAAAAGTATGTTTTTATTGATTTTAAATAGATAAGAAGGAAGAGGGAGACAGAGAGAAACATCAATGGGCTGCTGTCTGCACCCCCGCTACTGGAGATCGAGTTTGCAACCTCAGCCTTTGCCCTGACTGTGAATTGAACCTGTGAGTTTCTGGTGCATGATAATGATGCTGAACCACCTGAGATATATCCATCGGGGCCAATTGCACAGTTGATGGGAGTGTGGAAAATTAATGTATGAAATCAACATGCTGAGTTGAGAAAAAGAGGAAACTCCATAAAGTGGACCCAAGGCCCTCCGAATCCAGAACAACTTCCCACCCATCCTCTCTGCCTACACGGCGCTGAGTCCCTCCCGATAGCCGTTGGTCATTGGATTGAGATTGCCTGTGTTTAATGTTGTAGGAGACAGTGACATTCAAGGATGTGGCTGTGGTCTTCACCGAGGAGGAGCTGGGGCTGCTGGACCTGTCCCAGAAGAAGCTGTACCGAGACGTGATGCTGGAGAACTTCCAGAACCTGGTCTCATTGGGTGAGGACAGGTGCCTTCTGTAACTGAATGTCAGGTCCCAAGAGGATTTTTATTTCAAATGTTTAAGATTCTTGGACTTGAAATGTATCTCCATATTTGTATTTAAATTTCCTAAGTCCTGTGGTGTATCTTGTCTATACTTTTCCTAGTCTTTGCAAATTGCAGTTGTGATATCTTGGTGGGATATAAAATCTTTATTGAGTTACATCTTTATTGTAATGAACCAAATAGAATGAAAGTAGCATAGCTCCTATTTGGAACTGCATACAGTGTAACCAAAATTGTGAGTAAATCACAAAAGATAGTCATGTGATCACCTGTTGTATACAGGTAACATTCAGAATTTGGAATACTACTACTTAGAGTGCATGAGGATTGTACTGTTGGAATTAAGATTTTGGCCTTTAATGTATCCCCCTTGTATATAAACCATTTACTTTTCACAGTACATCAACCCTTCAAATTGGATAGTACTTGGGAAGGGAAGAGTAGGTTCAGATGATAAAGTTAGAAACCCAAGGAGGTGGGTGTTCAGGTGAGAACCAGGCAGCTCTGAGTCCTTCCAGGGCACAGCCCAGGTGCTGTCCTACTCATCAGCCCTTTGTTTTCATAGATATGAAAAAGCCAATGACAAGGTCAAGCTGATTGAATATGGTATCCCAGTGTAGTTGACCTGTGAAATAGTTTATATCTCTGAACAGGCATTCATTTGTCCTCATTTTTAATCTCTAAATTCTCTTTATCCTTTCAGGACATTGGAATCAAAATGAGATAGAGACTCTTCAAGAAGTTGGATTAAGTTACATTTTTCATGAGGACTTTATGTGCTGGGAAATATGGGAACTACTTTTAAGTAACTTAACCAGAAATCAAGACTTGATAATATATCTTCTAGGCAAGAAGTTTGATTTGCCAAAACAAGGTGATTCCTTCTGTCATCTGTGGGCAGGAGAATCTACTCAGGTTTCTGAAGATGAGAACTATGTAATAAAGCTTCAAAGGGAATTTCAAAGTTCCAATAATATAAAAAATCAAGAATTTCCAATTAATACCACCTGTGAATTCTGGAAGAAAATGTATCTGAGAGAGTCACAGAATTATCAGAGTGGGTGTGAGCAGATTGACAGAAGATGTAAACTGTGCAAGTGTGATCATTGTATTATGCAAAGGTCCTCTCATGACCATGAAGATAATCAGAAAGTACATAAAGGTGAGAAGTCTTATAATCACAAGAATTGTGGAAAGGACTTCATGAAGAAATTATTCCAGCGTAGTATAATCCACTCAGGAGAGCAAACTTCTGATGAGAATCAAAAAGGCTTCAGCCTTGGCCCCAGTCTTGAACTTCATCAGCTGTTGTACCTAGGAGCAAAACACCATATGCGTAGTGCATGTGGGGATGGTATCAGTTATAACTCTGTTCTTTGCACTCATCAATGTGTTTCCACAGAAGAGAAATGCAGTAGAAATGATGATTGTGGTGAGGACTTTAGTCAAAGCTCACATCTGCAAATTCATCAGAGAGTCAACACAGGAGAAAAACCCTACAAGTGTGCTGTGTCTGGAAAAGACTTTAGTGGGAGTTCACATCTTCAAGTTCATCACCAAGTCCACACTGGAGAGAAACCCTACAATTGTGCTGTGTGTGGGAAGAGCTTCAGTCGGAGTTCACAGCTTCAAGCTCATCAGCGAGTCCACACTGTGGAGAAGACATACAAATGTGAGACATGTGGTACAGTCTTTAGTTGCAGTTCACACCTTCAAGAACATCAACAAGTCCACACTGGAAAGAATCCCTACAAATGTGATGTCTGTGGTAAGAGCTTCAGTCAGACTTCAAGTCCTCAAGCGCATCAGCGAATCCACACTGGAGAGAAACCCTACAAATGTGCTGTGTGTGGTAAGAGCTTTAGTCAGACATCACATCTGCAGGTTCATCAGCGAGTCCACACTGGAGAGAAACCTTACAAATGTGCTGTGTGTGGTAAGAGCTTTAGTCAGACATCACATCTGCAGGTTCATCAGCGAGTCCACACTGAAGAGAAACCCTACAAATGTGCTGTGTGTGGGAAAGGCTTCGTGTGGAGCTCATATCTTCCTGTTCATGAGAGGATCCACACAGAAGAGAAACCCTACAAATGTGATGTGTGTGGAAAGAGCTTCAGTCAGAGTTCACATCTTCAAGCCCACCAGCGAGTCCACACTGGAGAGAAACCCTACAAATGTGCTGTGTGTGGTAAAAGCTTCAGTCGAAGTTCACATCTTCAAGCCCATCAGCGATTCCACACAGGAGAGAAACCCTACAGATGTGCGGTGTGTGGTAAGAGCTTCAGTCAGACCTCAAGTCTTCAGTACCATCAGCGAGTCCACACTGGCGAGAGACCCTACAAATGTGAAGAGTGTGGGAAAGGCTTCATGGTGAGCTCAAGTCTTCACGTTCATCAGAGGATCCACACCGGAGAGAAACCCTACAAATGTGGCTTGTGTGGTAAGAGCTTCAGTCAGACTGCAAGTCTTCAAGCTCATCAGCGAGTCCACACAGGAGAGAAACCCTACAAATGTGCTGTGTGTGGGAAAACCTTCAGTCGGAGTTCATATCTTCAATCCCATCAGCGAGTCCACACTGGAGAGAAACACTACAAATGAAGTGTGTGTGATAAGAGCTTCAGTCATATCTCAAGTCTTCAAGACCATCAGCAAGTCCACAGTGCCTAGAAACCCTTCAAATATGAAGAGTTTGGGAAAGGCTTGAAGTGGAGCTCATGTCTTCATGTTCATCAGAGGATCCACACAGATAAGAAACCCTATAAATGTGGCAAGTGGGAAAAGAGCTTCAATCATACCTCACATCTTCAAGCTCAACAGCAAGTTCACACAGGAGCAAAGCCATAAATATGTGAGACGTGTAAGGGTTTTGATCATAGTTCACGTGTAAAAGAACATCAGTGAGTCTTCACTGGAGAGAAACCCTACAAATGTGCTGTATATGGGAAAGGCTGCATGTAGTGCTCAAGTCTTCATGTTCATCAGAATCTACACAGGATACAAACCATATGAATGTGGCATGTGTGGTAAGAGCTTCAGTCATTCCTCACATCTTCAAGTTCATCAGTGAGTCCACACAGGTGAGAAGCCATACAAACATGAAACTTGTGGTAAGGGCTTCATTCAGATTTTCCACCTTCAGGTCCATCAGAGATCTCATATAAGTGGCAAGACATACAAATGCGATACACATGGTAATGGCTTCAGTAACAGTTCACATCAACGAGTTTACACTGGAGACAAACTCTATAAATGGTTTGTGCGTGGGAAAGACTTCAGTCATAGTTCTCATCGTCAAGCTCATTGACTGACGAGTCCTCACTGGAGACAAACCCTACTGGATGTAGTAAGAGCTTTAGTCAGACATCACTTCTTCAAGTTCATTAGCAAATCCACAGTGTAGAAAAACCCTACAAATATGCTCTGTGGAAAAGGCTTGATGTGGAGCTCATATCTTCATATTTATCAGTGGATCCACACAGAAGAGAAATCCTATATATGTGACATGTGGTAAGAGCTTCAGTCAGAACTCAAGAGCCTTCAAGGTCATCAGAGATCCCACCCAGGATAGAAGTTACACAAATGTGAGACATGTTTCATAATTAGGTTTTGGCGTTTATATGTAAAGTTTCTTTCTTTATATTTCTTCTTACTAACTCTTTGAAATAGCAATTTTCTTCAAAATTTCAAAAAGGAAACCATAAAACAAGTATTATTGATAATACAAAAACTTTTCTTGTGTACCTTCAGTGATTATTAACAGTTGAGTTACATATGAAGGGTTTCAGGGAAGCCTAACAAACTAATAAAGTAGTTAATAAAGTAGTAATATTAATTTGTAGATAAATAGATAGGTTTTGTTGGCCTCTCAGGATGGCTATTTCAGATGTTTGGGCTTTTCATCCTTGAGAAGTATTTGATCTCCACTGTAAATGGAGGCAAGTGTCAGAGACGGGCAAATATCCAGTCCTGATTAGGCATCTGATAAGGTAAGGCCTCTTCAAACATTGTTGGAAAGAGTCTTTAATAAATGTCTTTCCCAGTGGACCAAAATCTCCAGGTTGTAATTTACGATCTTTGAACTCTGTGTCTTATGGGGGCACACTATTAAATGAGTGTTATTAATTTACTAGTTTCTATATGCCCGGCTGGTGTGGCTTACTGGATTGAGCACCATCCCATGGACTAAAGGTCTGGGTTTGATTCCCGCTGAGGGTTGTACATGAGTTGCAGGCTTGATCCCCAGTGAGGGGTTTGCAGGAGGCAGCCAATCGATGTTTCTCCTTCACATTGATGTTTCTATCTCTCCCTAACTCTCTCTCTTAAAAAAAAAAATCAGTAAAAACGTTTTTTAAAAAATTTACTAGTTTCTATAACCTCATTAATGAGCCATTGCTAATAATGTAGAATGTCTCCCCTTAGAAAACAGAAAGATTCAAAAGATCAGTAAGCCTTGGCCAGTTTGGCTCAGCAGTTAGAGCGTCAGCCGGCGGTCCAGAGAGACCCGGGTTCGGTTCCCGTTAAGGGCGCATTCCTCGGTTGCAGTTTGTCCCCAGCCCTGGTTTGTCGTGTGGGTGGCAGCCATTCGATGTGTCCCTTTCACATCAATGTTTCTCTCCCTCTCTCTCTCTTCCTTGGTCTCCCTCCCACTCTATGTGAACAAAAAAAATGGAAAAATATCCTCCGGTGAGGATAAAAACAAAATAAAACAAAAATAAAAAGATCGGTAATATTTCAGTCATAAAAATAATAAATTATTTTTGGTTTATTTAGTCCCATTATCAATTCTTTTGTTTATTCGCCAATATTTTTATGAATTTTGTTATTCTTTAGAGTTTTATACATTTTTATTCAATTTAAAGATATGACCTGGCCCTGGCCGGCTTGGCTCGGCGGTTAGAGCGTCGACCTGCGGTCCTGAGAGACCCGGGTTCGGTTCCCGCTAAGGGCGCGTACCTCGGTTGCAGTTTGTCCCCGGCCCTGGTAGGTTGTGCGGGTGGCAGCCACTCGATGTGTTCCTTTCACATCGATGTTTCTCTCTCTCTCTCTCGGTTCCTCACTCTCCCTCCCACTCTACCTGAACAAAAAATGGAAAAATGTCCTATGTAGGTGGTAGACCAGTTGGCCCTACGTAGGTGGTAGACCAGTTGGCCCTACCTAGGTGGTAGACCAGTTGGCCCTGAGTAGTTGGTAGACCAGTTGGTCCTACGTAGGTGGTAGACCAGTTGGTCCAACATAGGTGGTAGACCAGTTGGTCCTACGTAGGTGGTAGACCAGTTGGCCCTACCTAGGTGGTAGACCAGTTGGCCCTACGTAGGTGGTAGACCAGTTGGCCCTACGTAGGTGGTAGACCAGTTGGCCCTGAGTAGTTGGTAGACCAGTTGGCCCTACGTAGTTGGTAGACCAGTTGGCCCTACCTAGTTGGTAGACCAGTTGGCCCTACGTAGGTGGTAGACCAGTTGGCCCTACGTAGGTGGTAGACCAGTTGGCCCTGAGTAGTTGGTAGACCAGTTGGCCCTACCTAGTTGGTAGACCAGTTGGCCCTACGTAGGTGGTAGACCAGTTGGCCCTACGTAGGTGGTAGACCAGTTGGCCCTACGTAGGTGGTAGACCAGTTGGCCCTGAGTAGTTGGTAGACCAGTTGGCCCTACGTAGGTGGTAGACCAGTTGGCCCTACGTAGGTGGTAGACCAGTTGGCCCTACCTAGGTGGTAGACCAGTTGGCCCTACGTAGGTGGTAGACCAGTTGGCCCTACGTAGGTGGTAGACCAGTTGGCCCTACCTAGGTGGTAGACCAGTTGGCCCTACGTAGGTGGTAGACCAGTTGGCCCTACGTAGGTGGTAGACCAGTTGGCCCTGAGTAGGTGGTAGACCAGTTTGGCCCACGTAGTGGTATACCATTGGCCCTGAGTAGTTGGTAGACCAGTGGCCCCTACCTAGTTGGTTAGACCAGTTGGCCATACGTAGGTGGCGACAGTTGGCCATAAGTAGTGGAGACCAGTGGCCTAGAGGTGGTAGACCCAGTTGGCCCTACATAGGTGGTGACCCAGTTGCCCTACGTAGTTGGTAGACCAGGTGTCCTACCGTTTTTAAGGTGGTAGACCAGTTGGCCCTACCTAGGTGGTCTAGACCAGTTGGCCCCTGAGTAGGTGGTTAGACAGTTGGTCCTACGTAGGTGGTAGCCAGTTGGCCCTACGTAGTGGTAGACCAGTTGGCCCTACCTAGTTGGTAGACCAGTTGGCCTGAGTAGTGGTAGACCAGGTGGTAGACCAGTTGGCCCTACGTAGGTGGTAGACCAGTTGGTCCTACCTAGGTGGTAGACCAGTTGGTCCTACCTAGGTGGTAGATCAATTGGTCCTCCAACTGTCACTTGCCTCACTTAACCCTGCAGGCCTACTCCATTGTGGGGTGAATCCTCAGAGCTCTGAAGTCCCTGGGTTCACCCACAATCTATCCGCTGCTCCCAGACCCTGGGACACAGCCTGTCCTTAGTGTCGGGGGCATGAGGGAATCAGAAGCATCCGGGGTGATCTGTGCTCCCTCTGAGCAAACATGCTCCATGACTCACCAGCTGTGGAGATGGGCCCTGTGGGTGGGGGGCTGGGGGAACAGAGGGTCCTGAGAAGGAGGACAGAAGAGGGTGAGAGTCTGGGGCTGACCCTGGTGCCCCACCTCACTCAGACTCCTCCATCTGCTCAGAGCACCCTAGAGTCCCTCCCATGGCCCACGTGGCATCTTCTCCACCGAGGTGAGGGGAAGGGGTACACATGGGTAGGAGGGTCTCTGAGGGGCAGATGTCCTCTGGGTGACCACCCCTACAGGCCTCCCTCCCTCCCTTTCAGCTCATCTTTCTTCTGGGCACAGGACCCTGAGCCGACAGCACAGAAAGACAGGGCCAGGGGCCCCTCACCTGAGACCCGCAGCTCCAGGGGCTCACTGGGCTGTGACAGCAGGTAGGGGGCGGCGCTGAGTGAGCTGTAGCACCTGTAGGTGCCCCCGTGGGTGGAGGTCACAGGACTCATGGAGAACTCTGCCTGGTACTGCTGAGCTCGGTGCTCTGATGGAAGACGCAGAGGGGGATCGGCTGCCCCCTCCTTGGACAGAAGGAAAGTGTCCTTTGGGTACTGTGATTGACACAGCAGGGTCACGTTTTCTCCTGAGGTCACCGTGGTGCCCGGCTGCACCGAGAGGGAGGGTCTGTCAATTGTCCATCCTAGAGAGAGGGGGGTGGGTGAGGGGCTGCCTGCCCACCTTGCTCTGACCTGAGAGTCCCAGGCCTCTCCCCTAGGACCCTCCTCTCTCTGTCTCCATTCTCTCTGAGTCTTCCCTCTCCCCTCACACCCCTGTCTCTCTGACTCTCCCTCCCTGGGCCCTGCACTTTCATTCTGGCCATGACCACCTGCGACCCCCCAGCCTGTGCACAGTCTGGTCCCTGAATGAACCCCTGACTCCTCACCTGCCACTAGGATGTCCAGGGGGTCACTGGGAGCCGACCACTTGGAGGAGAGGTTGTGTCCACCGTAGCATCTGTACCGTCCCCCGTCTGAGCTGCGCACAGGGTCCAGGGGGAAGTTGGCCTGAGAGAGCCCAGCCTGGGGCTGCAGGACAAGGCTCTGTGTGGGGTCCAGCTCCTCCTCCTTGGACAGAGCGAATCTGTCATAGCCGACATCAGAGCGACACTGGAGGGTCAGGCTCTGTCCAGAGGCCACGATGGGGTCCTGCTGGGCCAGGAGGGAGGGCGTCCCAGACACACCTGAGAGACCAGACGTGAGTATAGGGGCAGCTCATCCCATAACCCCTTCTCCAGGCCTGGCCCGGGTCTCACTGTCTCTGTGTCTCTGCCCCAGGGGCCCCTGTGCTCCCCTGACCCCACCTCTCACTGAGGGCTCCCCTCCCAGCAAAGATGCCAACAACCTGTCCAGCAACTCAATCCATGGAAGTGATAAAAATGGGACTCACCTGGGACCAGGAGCTCCAGGGGGTCACTGGGGTGTGAACACAGCTGGGGGCTGTTCCTGTAACAGCCATAGCATCTGAACGTCCACCTGTGGCTGGGGTCACGGGCCCCACAGGGAACAGGGCCTGGTACTGCCCTGTGGTGTGTGGTTGTGAGTCCAGGGTCCAGCAGAGCCTGTGTTCTCCATCCTTAGTCAGGATGAACCTGTCAAATCCCAGCCATGAGCCACACTGGAGGGTCACGTTCCCTCCTGAGGTCACAACAGGGCTGGGAAGGACTGAGGCTGGGTCTGCTGTACGATCCTAGGAGGGGAGGAGACAGCATGTTAAATGGGGTCACACCTCCCTCGTGTCCCCCAGGGCTGGGCTGTTAGAGGGCAGAGGCCCTGAGAGCAGCCCCTTCCTGAGGGCAGAGCCTGAGGCTGGGACCCCTGAGTGTCCCCTCACCTGTCACCACCAGCTCCAGGGGGTCACTGTGCTCTGACTCGCCAGAGGGGCTGCGATAGTAACAGCGATATCTCCCTGCATCATGGTCTGTCATCCGTGTGATGGAGAACGTGGCCTTGTCTCCGGGGTTCGGTGGCTTCTGTGTTTTCCATGGTGGTGTGTTTCCCTCTTTATCCAGACGGTACTCCTCAGCCCCCAGAGTCCCCTGACATGTGAT